AACGGTGAGACTCTTTTGATTCGATCTGCTGATGTGATCCCTGCCTCCTCTGCCATTAAACCACCGCAACCGTTGCGTCATCTTGAATGGAAACAATGTGATTTCAAAGCAAAATGACAGGACCCGTTTGTATTGACAATGAGCTCTCACAGTATTTTTCATCGCCGAGACAGATGATGTTCACACGGTCTTTTTTCGTATAGCATCACAATAAGCGAAATCATTGAAGTGGAGGAAGATTATCCGCTTTTTACGCGTAACATGTGGACGCTTCGCCATATCGATGAGTTGCTACTGCTTCCATGACGCTAATTGCATGGCCAGTTGCTATTGCCTTGGAAATACACCCAGACACATCCATTCATAGATATACGCAACGTGCATGCATGTATATAATTCATTATGGCAAGTGCTGTTAGGTAAATCCTTTTCACACATAACGAACGTTACCTCGTAGTGGTTCCTTTAGGCTAATAATGACATAAACTAGCAATGACGTCCTTTTATCATACGAGTTTGCCTTTTTTCCGTACGTTGTTGCCTCCATACTCAAAGAGAACCTGCCGAGATGCAGCCACCAGCGGCTTCAGGTCAAGATGAAAAATTGACGGTTCTGTTCGGGTAATCTGCTCTTGTGCAGGAAGCTTTGGAAGAAGCACCTCTTCTTCTGCCCTTATATGTATGTCTGTATATGTATTGTACGGAAATGCAGGGCCGTCGTTGAACATGATTAGAGCCAAACTCTGCTGCCATTAACCGTACTTCTGTTTTGACTTTCGGTTGCCTCATTCACAGGGCGGTGTAATCAGCGGGGAGGGTGACAGACTGGGCAGGAAGGGAGGGCGCTGCGTTTTCTTTTTCTGTTACTGCATGTTTGTTCGTCTTTTGTAGGTAACCAAGTAAGCTAGCTACCACTCGTCCTCTGGTACGAATATTCAAAGCGCATATACGGTCTTGACGCGTATCAGTGTTAATTCTCTTTTCATCGGTTGTTGTTCTTGAGATACTGCAGTTTGAATCCCCAGCGCTCATCTATTTGCCCTCAGGTGTAAGGTTTTCCTTCCATTTCTTACTTCTTCAAGAAGACAAACGCCTCAAGGCTTGGCTGTTAATCTTTCAATGTCTGTGGAGCTGGCGCATAGAATGGAGATTGGCTTGTGCCAAAAGTGTTGGTGACCATGAACAAAACTAGAATTTAGAAAGAAATACATGTGAAAGTCGTTGATGAAAGGAGAACAGCTTGCGACCAAGGGCAAAAAAGCCAGATCGTATACTAGTAGTGTCAGGTCTGCTCTGGGAGTCGTCTTCCGTTCAGTGCAATGTGAGAGATGCGCTTACCTATATATATAGATAGTACATAGGCAAACGTCAGTGTATATGCAAAGTTGATGACAAAATGGCATCTTCTCGATTACACAGTGAATAAATCCCGATTCTCAACAAGTGCTGCTGCGTTTTCTGCCCTTTCCCAATAAAAAAAACCGAATAGGCGCCAATCATTACTGAGATCGGAATACGGTATGCTTGTAATACGTCACTTTGCCCCTTTCCAGTTCTAGATGTAGGCCCTCGCTCTCTCCGGGCCTTTGGGCGATACATGTCGCTAAAATAACTAACCCATACTACCACTAATGCTGGCAGCCATTGAATTTTTTAAATTAATTTTTAGAAATTTTTTTATTAATACAGATCAATGAAAATTTATCATTAAAATGTGTGATATGATAATCGTAAAAAACTTTGCGGACGTGCCATATACAATTAGGTTAATGTTTTGTATAATAATAACACTAAATATCTGTTCATATAGGCAAGTGACGAGATACCGTATTTCACAATATGGATACACCGATGCAAGTTAACTCCGCCAGACCATGACTCCACCCAGAATCGTAAACCCCAATTACCGAAACGTGCGGGTGTTTCAATAGGAGCGGAAGCTGCATACGCATAGTGCCTCCAATCAAATATCGAGTCCTTTGAACGCTGGTCGCTGTCCTTTACGTGACTGATCCACACGTGTGCTGGACAGAAAGATAGTCAGGGAGACAGAAAATGATCTAAAAGTCATTTTTCCTCAACCAACCGTTCATTACGGTATTGTGGGTTCCATGTATTCGTAAGTTCGCGGTTCCGTTTTTAACAGAAATACGAAATTTCTTAGCCGATTTAGCACGGATTCTTTATAATTATTTTAGGCGCACAAATTTACGACCAGAATTAACCAAGAGCTCATCAAAGATTATTTTTTTAAAATATTAAAACCACCGAACCAAAAATTACTTTTGGTCTCAACAGACATTTCCACGGGCGTAATTTTATCGTTATCACTATGATACTGGAAATCACAATACCGAAAAAAACTATTTGCCAATATTGAATCGTTACGTTTTTAGCTACAAGGTGCATTACGGGTGGTAGGGTGTATTTCTTATACATTCTAGATGATTTTCTTTTTACTAGATAAATATAAAGCACGTTTCAGGAAGTATCGCGGGACGTCTGCGTCCGGATCGGGGAACAGCAATTATTTCAGTATTTAACAGCGTCTTGTCATCTCTAGCGAACTATGAAGGTGTTTATAATCGAACTTTTGTCAGCAGCCGATTATTCCCAGAGAGCTAGTCACCTCCGTTTTATTACATTCAAATTCATCGTTTGTAGAGCAACCCATTTCTTTAGAGACTCATCAGTTCCTCTGATGGTATTGGGTCGAGCTAAAGTTTTGTAAAGCGTAACCTTATCGTGACAGGTTTCACTTTAGATGCTCGTAATAACCGTTTGATTCATGCTCGCTAGTAACTAATTTAATCTATAATAGAGAGATCACTCGATCTGTGCGGTACACAATAGTACCACACGGTATACAGACAGTATTGCTTCTCACTTGAATGATCGGGCTGGCTAAGCCGTTCGTTCATTTCCTGCACAGGGTTCACAACCAACACAGTAGTCATGTTTTCCATTAAACCTAGACCTGGATCCGAATGAGTTGCGGTCATTGTCCTTGTTGTCATCTTGTGTGCAGCTTTCGCGGTATAGTTCGTTCATTGTCCTGTTTCTGTAGACCCAATAAACTGCTCTATTAGCCAATCCTGTTGAGAGGAACAGTTCGATTAAATTACTTATACGATTTTGTTAATCTGTGGTGATTGTCGAATTGCCTCCGTTCAAATACCCCACCTGTCTGTTCTGCTCATTTTGTGACCCTGCAGCAGGCCATGCGAGTTATCCAGTGTTCCCTTTTAAAATTCCATGAAACCCGGGCTCGCTTGGAACGCCCAAGTAAGCAATGTAAAAAAAAATTTATACTTAGTTAGAAAAATTCCAGAGTTCTCTGAAGGAAACAACAGTAAATCCAAAAGGTCCGAAACCCAACGCTTATCGGCCAGAGTTCAAAAATGAAGTAAGTTATATATTGAGATTCTTTTGCTTAGTCTCACCTAAGTCCTTGTGCAGGGATCATCTTTACAATTTGTCCCAGACACGTCGTCTTTTGAGCCGCTTTTGATATGGGAGCGACATACATTTATACATCCTGCCATTCGCTAGCAACTCTCTGGCAATCTTCACTTCCACAGAAAAAAAATATTACCACAAATACAACGTCCGTTATTTTGATTGATTTTATGACAAATGCTCTGTACATACACACACACACACACAAACACACGCTTGTGTTTTATGCGTCATACATCCATCGTTATTTTGTTTCTACAGGTCTGTTATTTCTCCCATATATCTTTTCAAGCGGCTAGGTTTCAATAATAACTGGACGGCTAAAAGAGTCGGGGCTGGTTAGTTTGATCCTTAAATTCGACATTTACAAGACAAGATGCGAGATGGAACAAAGTAGCTTTTATGAATTTCTGTCCAATGCTAAATTATATAGATTGCAAAATTAGGTGGCTGACAAGAGGAAAAAGCGAAATAACTGATTATTGCGCCGATAGGACTGCGTAATCCTATTTATTGAAGTAATTTCATGCGAAGGTTGCGATGATAACTGACTTCTATTTGTATAATAATATACTATATAATTAAATAATCCTCAGCTGATTTCGTCTCGGCATTAAGGTTCACTATTGATGATTGAATGACCAGGTGCCTATGTATTTGTCCATTAAATGTTTTGAATAAAATTTATTTATATACGCTTGGTTTATTTTTTGGAGAGCTGAAGGTTTGTGAAATTTTTCTGACAGTCTTTCAATTTGGACGATACCCACCAAAACAATGAGCTTATGATTCTTGATGATTGCAGAGTCTTAACCGATATTAAAGGAGAACCAAATGGTTTAAGTAATAGTTAAGTTACATTAAAATAATTCTACAGTTTGATAATGAACGTCTATAGCGATACCTTAGGTACTTGGCATTCTTTTCAAGGTGTCCTTAATACTTTTAAATTACATCATTAAATTAAAAGAAATTAAGGCCAAATCATACTTTAGATATTTACTGACTATTATCTTTATATATATACATATATATATATATATATATGAAAGTATTATTAAAAAAGTGGGTTGTTAGTAGAAGAAGTAGCAGAGCCTATTTTATTATAAGTTATACAATTGTACCATTTCATGTTTCTTCTTATAATACCTTTTCTATAGTAGTAATAACAATATTACTATCATCATTATTATCAATGATGCTGTTTTTGTTTTAGTTTCACAGATTTACAGTTATCGGTGATTCCTTGTTAAAACTAATATCGGCTCCTGTTCATTTACGATAGGCAATTGGCTGTTGATCAGAGTAATAGTAGTATCAAAGCTTTTTTTCTTTGAAATTTCTAAATATAACTATATCTCTTACTATTTTTACTTCCAAGCTATCTCTTCAGCTAAAATAGATTAGCACAATTATTGAACGTTAGGTATCTGGTAACTTTTTAAGTAATACTTAAGTAACAGCTGCTTGCTTACAATGTTTCAATCTTGGTTCGTTTAATAAAATACATGATTTACATTTGATTTGTCTCTGTCTGTTACCTTTTCGTCTAAGGAAGTTTTCCTAAATATTTTCACGCCGTCTTCAATGACCTCTTCTTGTAAGGGTTCAGCGCTTTCCTTTGGTATAGCCAATGGCACCACCTGCTTGAGGTCACGCATCTTCTGACGCACGCCCGACGATGAGGATGACATTCTGTCGGTTATGTTAGACGGATTGCCTCGTCTACGGCGGTTACTAGCGTTGTTCTTTGCTGCTAAACGTCATAGCCAAAGATCATAAACATCATTTTATTCACACATTAGCCGTTATAGATCGAGGGACATCATAACTTAATACGTTCACAAAGTATTTCAGTGCGATTAAATGAGTTCCGTGGCATTCGAAAAAGTTCAGAACCGATACACAAAACGAGCAGACACTACTACAGACTTAGATACATTTTCAAAAGAACCATTAAGGTAGATATACATACGAAGCCACCTACTTGACGTCCTCGATGGCCTTCTCGGCTGCTTTGGCTCACGTCGTCGCTGTCCTTGTCGCCGTTTCTATAAGGGTTCAATGGTAACAGAAACAGAGGTCATATGGTGAACGACAAGAATGAGCAAACACCTAAGACAAACGAATGAGTCCAGAATATATCGCCTGCTGATATCGCTGTGTACTGCGGTACTATCTGCACTTCACCTGTTCCCCCCAAAGGCCAACTTAAAGGTAAACCTTTACGATACCTATTTAACGGTTTCTACCGTGTGAAATAACTTAGTATTTAGATGAGCGCGTTACATTATATATACATACAAGCCCTTACAATTAAAAAGTAAATTATTTCGGCAATTTGATTTAATACTTTCAATCTGTTTTCAATCGGTTCAGTATACCGAAGGGCATAATCAATTTCAAACTTATACCAGTCAAACAAATAAGGGCAGTGTTTCCGTAGAACTGCTATAATTTGGTTTATATGCGCATAGATCTGATCCAGTGAAGCAAGCAGAATGAACAAATATCAAATGGTACTACTTAGACAGCTCTCATTATTATCAATTATAGGCATATAGAGAAGCCTTTATATGCGCACCGTTGAATGGACATAGACAACAGTTACAACAGAACTTCACCGACTTTAGATAATAATTCGCTTCTAATTATAATAATTACAAGCATCAAATACTTATTTAATGCTAAATTAGCTAAGGACCCGCGCGGCAAATCACGATAAAACCTGGATTAATTAATATTTACCTTTTATGGAGTCTAGTTTCAATTTGTCCAAAATAAGTTAGATTTGAAAATCAGCCGCCATTAAAAAAATTACTTTTTAAAATTACAGTTACTTCTAATAGAGACTAAAGTAAAAAGGAGGCATTGTCGTGTGGCATACACGTAAAATGACTAGGCTATTTAGAGCCAATCAAAATCAAATAAATTTTCAATTACGGCCCTAACAGAGATAATTTACCTGGCGAATATTTCGGTCACTTCAGAAGAAAAATAGTTTTTAGTTTATTTACTAAGTTTTTATTTGTCGAATGCCACAGCTTTGCCAACTTTTATCAGAGATCGGTAAGGACATTAGGCGAAAACACTTTAAGCGAAAGCAAAACAAGTCAATACGAACTACCAATTTTAACATTACCTATATTAAATGTATCAAATTTGTATTTCCAAAATTCTATTTGACGGAGTAAGGACCGCATTCATTTGCCGAAACATCGTCCTGAAGGCCCCTAGTGTACTAAATATTTGCGTACTTTATGTCAACGCTTGTCAGAAAGATAAAAGCAATTGATGTTATCATGCTCGGTTTTGTAGACATAATTGCTATTGGTATTATTACTACATCGATTTTACTTATTAGACCCATTCGCTTGATCACTCTTTGAACCAAACATTCTTTGCCAGCGAATTAACAACGCTTTGATAGTTTACAGGACCGCTTTTCGAAGTCGTTCGCAGCAGCTGAGTTTCAAAAGCTTTCATAAATTTTAGCGTACGAGCCTGGAAGCTGGTGCCACTCACACAGGCGGCTGCAGAGCTGCATTAAAGACGAGAAGAGGAAAAAGCGTTCAGAGCCGAATGTGTTAAACGTAAGTAACGGTTCCCGTTTCGGGCATCTTCTAGGTTTTCTAATGTCCACTAAATCCTAACAAGCGAACACCAAATGACTTCTTCTTCATGCCCTTTTTCAGCCCAACAGTCGAGCCTGCAGCGACTAAGCGGACAAAAACTCAAAACCTCTTTTCGTTCCTCCCGTCTTCGCCTCCCCTTCTACGCACTTCAACACTTACCGCTAACTAACAACAAGCAGATACAGGTTTAGCAAGGCGGCGGACATGTTCAGTTTTCGTGATTCCTCCTCGATTAACGCGTTCCGGTGCTCACGTCGAACATGTCCTTTCGGCTGTTCCTCCAGAATGACTGTAAGTGAGACCGCAGACATCTGCTGGCCGAGTGTCACCCGATAACGTACTCAGAAAGTCGACGAAAGCCAGTTGGCTTCAACGATCAATGACGTGATCCCTTAAGTAACATAGTCCGCTCACGTCGCAGGCCAAAACGAATGAATGAGAAAGGAAACCGTTCGAACCCTTCGGGTGGTGACGACCACGATACAAGGTCGCCACAGTAGGGCTTCTGCCTAGGTGGTTCTGGCACTGTTTGATCCATAGCACGGCTCCGTTTAGCCTGTGCGAACTTATCCTGGTAACGGGTAAAGCTGCTAAACGGAGGCAGCTTTGCACGTTTTTGTGATTATCGAACATGAAAAAATGCAACGCAGTGCGAGCGAGGAAGAAAAGAGGGAGCGGTAGTTGGGGCAAACCGATACGGACTTCTGTTATTCGTGCAGTTGATAGTGCATCACGCACCAGGCCACGCATATCGCTTCTGTTGTCGTTTGATATTATTTCCCTTCTTTAAATCGAACGATTCGAGTATATCATTAGAAAAATGACGACTCTTAATCATTGTCAGCTCAACGTACTTGATAGAAATGGCGAACAAGATGTTACATATCTGATTAAATCTAGAATTAGATCCAAACTGAAAATTTGTGGATACGAGTTGGTTCAGTGACATGTTTGATAATTCGACTTCCCTCCATATATGGTGACGTAAGGTGTGGTGTTCTTTCTTCATTCCGTCTACGATGGTATTGATCGGTCATCGATTGCCCCTACGGTCGGCGCCGGCTACTGTCATTGCGGTGGTGTTTGGTAACAGGCTTTAATCAATTCTTATCAGTATGATCCTTCCCTCTATACAGGCAGGCATCTGTTGCATCATCCTTTCGAGTTAACCTTCAGCGACAATTTATTACCCATGCTTCACGGATGTTCGGGATAGTAGATCACCGCGCCGACCCAGGCCATAGGAGCTAATCTAAAAAGCTTCGGATAATTATGCTCATATATTAGGTAACCTTGCTGAGCGACCAAAATGGTAGGAGGCATGTATCTACGAAGCACTTTGTTACGAAGTTGTTGAATGGTAAAGGTTTTCAATATTTTGAAGAGATTCAACACCTATGATAGTGTAGGTCGGCATTGTACCAGTAGCGGTAATCCACGTAGCCAGCTCTACGATATAAAGCTAACATTATGAAACGCAGAGAACACTGCTAATTATATTTAGCTATGTTTTATCATATACAAGAGATCACGTTTTCATTTAACGTTGTTATTATCGTGTCACTAGCTGTCGAATTGTGCCTGCTACATCCATAAAAAAAACGGTCTACATACAGTTTTAACAACCACGACCATCGGTCATTTATATGGTTACATTATATAGAAATGATTTGCCATCCAAGAAGTTATGGCAGTGGATACATTTCAGTTGTTGGGGGTGTTCATTTCACCCTCTGATGGAACGCAGGCTTCTAGTCATTCCATTGTCAGATTGCAAGTTTCTGGTATTAAATCTTGTCTAAGCTATTATAAATTCTACACGTCCCGAGCTAAGTACATCGTATAAGATCCGACATATCGCGGTACGTATACCACTATATCCCTGTAACAATACAATAAACAGTAGGCTAACCGGACTAAAACCAGGCACTGTGAAATATCAAATGGCCACATTGTTATCGACCGAGCCTGGCTAACCAGAGATGACCAGGCCAGGTTGATTTATAACACATAACGGAAAATTCACGAATTAACAGCTTCTACTTCATCAGATATATACAAGACGCGGTACGTGAACTGGTTTCCAGAAAGTGGATTTAAAGATTTTCCATCTCATTCTTTTCTCAATGGCGCTTGCTATCTTATCACCAGAGCTTGTCCGACCCGTCTTGAGTTCTTATAGCATTGGCCCTTTTGGTGCCAGTCAACAAAATCACAAGACGCTAATATTCGTGAGCGTCAAAAGAAAACACACAAGGGCTTGGTGCGTCATGTGTGGCAAGCTGGAAGATCTGCGGAGGTTAAGCCTTTTCCCTAGCGGAACTAGGAGAACGAGATAGAGGCTGTTCCAGTTCGGTTTAAGACAAGAAGTGCGTTTACCTACATACGTCGACCTAGCACTCATTCTGTTTTCATATTTGCCTTCTGTGGAATGAAGCACGTAGGCACGGCAGCATTCCAGACGAGGTACGAAGGGCTTTCGTAACAAGAGCGGTAGGCTCATATTTAATCTCAGTTTTTCTATCTAATACAACAAACGAGATGTGTCTAGATGCTTCACTTCGTAAAACGAAAGCGCTATAGCAGCAATCTTAGTTATGCTTTCTCCCGCCAGGTTCTCGGCTAGTAACAGTGTGGGGGCTGGTGAAGCTCTAAGAGATGAGAGTGCTTATAACGCCCGAGGAAAAGTTACACGTGTACACACATATCCATAGATCTGCACGTAAAGGTTTTGATAAAATAGAATCACCATCTTTTCATTTACTTTTTGCTTTTGGAAGTCATGAAACGGAGTCTGTGTTTTAGATAGGTAGCCGCAAAAGAACAGATACCCGACGCAAGCGCAGAGACAAGACTAGACACAATCGCATATTTAGGAATACGTTCCCCTCGACGGGTCGAGTTCCACTCGACTAGAGGATAGGCGACCTTGTAGGCATGGCAGAGCGGACACACTGGCATTCAGATGCCCGTCTTTCCTTCATGTCTCAAGCCGAGAGGTGGAATAAATGTATTCTTGGCAGTTGTAAAGTGATCAACATATTTAAAGGAAATTAAATCAAGCTCGTTGGAATTGCTTGACAATTGTTGATCTTGTACTGTTCAGAGGCCGAAACCAACAACGCTTAACCCTGAAAGCTGTATAGTATTGCCTTTAAACCGTTGCTTGCATACACGCTCTATCTGGGCTATTCCGCGTAAGCTTCGTACTACTGCGTTATTTGTAAACACACGCCTGCGATACAGCTGTCGGGAATGTCGGCGTTCCTGCTCAACGCAACTCGGCCAAAAGTAATTTCAAGATATCTAATACACTGCGATATGGATTGTGGTGGGAAAAACATACAGGTTCTCCAAGGTAAATGTAACAGGCTCGCTAGAAAATCTATCAGGATGCAAACCTTTCGATCCAAGTG